GGGGGGGGTGTCCTCGTTAGCGTAACGAAGCCTGCCAGTACCAGTGAGACAACACACCCTCCCCCAAAACAGGGGAGCCCATGCAGAGCAGGAAGGAGCCCCAGAGGAAAAGCTGCACGCTGAGGTGTAATCTGCAACGCCCCCCGCCCTGCCCTTCATCGTGTCAGGGGGGGACTTTCGGCATCTCCCGGCGGCGAGCACAGCACTCACCGAAGGTCAGGAGGAAGCCGTAGAGCATGCTCAGCACCCACGAGTACCAGCCCTTGTGCTCCAGGTAGAGCAGGCTGTACACAGCATAACAGCCCAGCAAAGGGAAAAGAATCCATGAGAGGTACCGGAAAGCCATCTGGGGAGGCAGTGACATCCAAAAATCAGCTGGGAACATGCCAGAGTCCCAGCCCGGCACTTCCCCGGTTCCCAAACATCAGACCAAGGAGGGGGGTGGGCAGTGCCGGTAGCCCATTTCACCGCCTGCCCTGCCCCAGGTGAGTCCCAGGGGAATTGGGGAAGACGAAGTGAGGAGAGGTGCGTTGAGGTGTTCGGCCAAGCTGGCAGCTGGCCGGAGCCGGGCTCGGCAACATGGTGCCATCCCTGGCACTCACCGCGCCCCCCCCCCCCCCCCTGACTCCCGTCATCGCACCCCCTCGTGGAAGACTCGATATAGGTCGACTTGTCTTTGAAGGTTATGCGGGGAAACACTCCTGCCACCTTGTTCTCTCGGTCCAGCTGCCAAAGGAGAGGGGAAAGGCGTCACCAAGCAGGACCAGGGGCACTGCCAGAACCGCCCCCCCATGCCCGTGTTGCTGCTTACCCGGACATCCATGACCTTTGTGATCTTCCAGAGGTCAATGAGGAGCCCAATGAAGACACTGACTTGCACCACGAAGTTGGTTTCGTTGTCCAAGATGTAGAGGAGGACGACGAGGGACTGGAAGACACCAAAGAAGACGGAGCGGACGGAGAGCCCCTCCAGAGATTGCCGGCTGTTCCAGAACTGGATGTCTGTCAGGAAGGGGTCCAAGCTGTCACCCCGACAGAGGGGAAGGGGAAGCTCCTGCGCCCAAGGCTCCAGAGAGCTACTGTGGCACACACCCCAGGGGAGGGAGTGAAAGGAGCAGGTGGTGCGATCGCCGGAGCCAAGCAGACACCGCAAAGCGCAGTCTGGCATCGGCGCAGGCGGCAGGGACCCAGAAAACCACAAGTTTCTGGGTTTCTGCCTTCAAGTTGGCCCTGCGGCATGGAGGATCGCCGGATGCCTCAACGCACACCACAGCAGCCGCAGCCTGCCCAGGACGTGGTTGGATTTGGCTACGGCTGCTGAAGACGTCACAGCCGAGGAGCGGAGGGCTCATGGCAGCGCGTGGCATTCAGCCAGCTGAGAACGCGCCGCAGCACGAGGACGTCTGCTCTGCCACCACCGTGGGGATGAGAAAGGGTTGGAGGCAGGAGCGGGGAGAGGGTTTTAGGTCACACCACCGCCTTTGCATCCTTCCCCTCTATGCAGATCCCCAAGGTCTCTCCGCAGCGCTCACCGTTTTTGAAGGCCAAGAACTCAAAGATGCTGTGCACAATGGAGACGATGATGGTCAGCGCCAGCAGGTAGGGATTCGTCTCCAGGAGAGCAACCTGGAACAGGCATCAAAAACCTCTCTGAGGTTCCTCCTGCCCAACGCCCCAGGAATAGGGAGAATCCAGGAGGATCCAGCCGGTCACAGGGCGCCAAGGACGACGAGGGGTTTAACTGCTCTCTATCGTTATGGCCTCCATGCTCCCTTCCCCCTACAGAGCCAAAGCAGGTGCCTGCGCACCCCCCCACACTTTGCATCGCAAAGGTAATTAATAAGGAGCGATCACAACAAAGAACAGGCACTGAACACTCTTCCAGCAAAGCTAGGGAAAGACATGAAACAGGGGGAAGGAGCTGCTACAAAAAAGAGGTTTCAATCTATGGGGACAAGCAAGAGAGCTTCAGCCGGGAGGAGGGAGGCCCGCGAGTGGCTCTTAACCTTCACCGAGTCCTGCTCCTCATCCGACTGCTCGTAGAGGTCCTCTCCCAGGAAATTCCAGGGGGATTTAGTGCTCTGGGCAGCGTAGAGCTGCCAGCGCCACAGGGAGAGCGGACAGAAGGAAAGGCGGAAGGGCAGGCGCTGCAGGGTCTCGTTGATGGGGAAA